GCACATCGTCATTTTGATGTTATTTCTTACAAATTACGATCTTGCCGCTGTGAGTGCCATGATCACAGGGGAGACGTCTGTGGGAGGTGAGCAGTCTGCCACCTACGGACGCCCTTCCTCCTCCCCTCCTGGGGGGTCAGTGGGAACTGTGGCCCGATGAGACATCCCCAGAGCTGCAGACTGCTTCTCCGCCTTCCCCAGACCCCACCACCCGCCACCCAAGTGCCCCCTCTGGAAGCTGCGTGGCTGGCACACCCTCCATACCACGCACAGTCACGCTCGTGGAATAATCGAGAGAAAAACGAAAGATAAATGCCCCCCACTCCCTTTTCTTTCCCAGCAGGCTCTCTTGGAGGAAAAAACTCCCTAGTTCAAATAGTTTGCTTTTAAACCTTTTAAGTGTTTCATTTTAAGGCACAAGTGTCTAAAAATCATACAGAATTTACCAGGCGACAGCCCAAGGTAGTCCCCCCAACCCCCTGGACCAGAGCGCAGAGCCTTACCTGTTCCCCTGGGGGCCAGTGCCTTTGCCGGCAACTGCAGCTGCAGCTTCTGTCTGCTTTTGTCCCCAGATCCTCTTGGGTTGTGCATTTCTGGGCTGACTGTCAACCTCCCCAGTTTTGGCCTCCTCTTCTTTGATAAAATCTTTGGTGCCTGGGCTGCTGAAAGGTGCAAAATCTTTTCAATAATTCATTTTTACCAGGAAAATATCTCCCACCTTAAGAATGCTTGAAGGGCCCAACAATGGGGGTGGGGAGTGCTGTCAAGAGAATGGACCCAGGAGGACAGAGAAGAGCTGGATCTGAAACCTGGTTCCACTCCCTTGTAGGCATGTGAGCTTAGGCAGATCATGTCACCGCTTCAAGCCTCAGTTTCCCCACCTGTTACATGGAAATAGTAATACCCTCTTCACAAGGCCGTTATCACCACTCAGGAGCACCCATGACACCTGCAATGCAGAGTCCGCAGGGATCTTTCCTTCCGCTAAGAAGTTTCTAGCTTCCCATCCACAGGTGTTGGTGTGGACCTGCTGTAGCTGTCAAGAGCCTTCAGTTGGGACACGCTGCTCCCTGACGCTCACCCAGGTTTGAATCACAGTGTATTTTGTACTTGCGTATTTATTTCCTCGGGTTGTTTATTAGTGGCAGACACGGCCTTACAGAAAGGTTCCCCGCACCGGGGCCAACACACCTTTTCTCTTTCCTATGTCCCACCCACCATGGTGCTGGGGTGACACTCACAGGAAGACAGTAGCTGGGGCGCTACTGGGGGCTGAGTTCCCAACGAACATTTTTTTTTTAAAATTCAGATTTTGAATTAGGTTGCTAATGAGTATGAACAATTTCAAGTTTCCTCTTCACATGCATTTAGCATCAGTGCACGTGAATGTGGGCAGAAAGTTTCAGTACTTTCCATGAATCCCTACAAGTTCTTGGGTTCGCAAGGCAGTTAAATCATGAATATCTGGACTAAATCTCCCAAGATCACGCGCCTGGCTCATCTCTTTTTAGACAGTTTAGAAATTTCACAAACAGACGCAGCCAGCAGGCAACATGGGGGAAAGCTGGGAAGGGTCCCCGACTCGTATGCGAGAGCACAGCCTGCCTTGGCACGTGCAGACAACTGGATGTGTGTGCCAGCGTGTAAGCTGTGTCTGCAGGAATAGTTTTCTTCGAGATGCAGGAAAGGAATGAAAATTCTTTCTCTTTGGCAGCCCAGGAAGCCTAATTTAATACGACGGCCGGGATGGGAAGGCAGCGCCTTCTGTGCTCCAAGATAGAGAGGACCATGCTCCACAGGGAAGTTACTAGAAGACGGGAGCTGCTGGGTCAACTTAGGGCAAGTTGGTGGAGCCCAGAGAACTGGTGGGTGTGACCAGAAAGGTGAGAAGGGAGTGGAAGCTCTCTGGAAAATGAGAATATATTCTTTGGGGGGTGCAGGGTGGTGATGAGACATGATTTCAGTGACCAAAGAGGGAGTGAGAGGGGAGGGAGGGAAGCATTCCCTCAATGCCAAAAGTCGCATTTCTTGAATCCAGAGGTTTCTCCCTCATCACCTGAGACCCCATCCCTCCTCAGCTCTTGGAAGTCCTGCCTCCTGCCTTCCACCTGATGGACAGAACAGGAAGCTGCGGGATTCTCAGATACTGAGGAAGAAAGAGGGAGGGCCAGGGAAGGGGCAGGCTGGGGGCTCAGGCCAAGTCCCGAAAGCCAGGACCTGGCCCAGAGGTCCTTACTGTAAAGATTTCACTTTGATTCCTGGCAGGAACCCAGAAGAATGCTCAAATTTCCTCCACGCTCCAGGCAGCAGAACTTCACACTGCCCACAGTGCCGCCCCTCTCTGCTCCATCACATGCCTTCCCAGGGAGTGAGCCTTCCTCCCAGAGGGCCTTCCCCACTAGCCTGCACCAGCCAGCAGCTCCTGCAAGATCTGTTCCCAGTTTCACTCCACCAAGTCTGCTCTGACTCTGCTTTGGCCAGAACCCTTATTTTCAGGTGTTTTATGGCCTTTAGTATTTAAATATTCTAAAATTGATTAATGTGTATGTCTTTTCTCTCCAACTGTAAGCTCCGTAAGGATGCGGACCATCTCCTAGCCAGTCTATGTGTTGCCTTGCACTGTGGTGCAGGCCAAATGTTAATTGCCTAGTATGTTTGCAGGGCTCAAGAAGATGTCTTCAGCCCAAACTACAGGGGAACTTCAAAACTAGAACAAATGTTTAGCTGTGCAGAAGACCCAAGATAGCTTAAGACAAAAGGTTATTTAATTTGTTCTCTTGTTCAAAAATCTGCTTCCTTCAAAGCATCAAATCTCTTAAACACTTTCCAAAACCATTATTATGCGCCCTCTAATCAAGTTCTCAGCAAACTAAAGTAATAAACCTGAACAACTAGAGATTGTTTTACCAGTCCTGGCAATGAAGAAATCACTGCTGTTGGTGTAGGCAGGATCCTCTGACTTTTGGCAATTTCAACCTCAAATTGTCTATAGTTTCTGCAACTGTAAAATGGGAATATTCTTACCTTGGTATTATAAAGTTTAGCAATCATGTACATAAATGGCCTAACTTGGTGTCTGTTGTGTATTAATGGCTAAAAATGATAGCTGCTGCTTCGACCACAATGAAGACCACCACTCTGAAGGCACTCTCACGAGAGAACTGAATTTGACCAGAGACTATTATGCAGGCTTCACAGGGTGAGAATAACTTATTCGGTAGCCTTTATTCCTATGTAGTTCTGGTTGATTCTCTCATTCGATCCTTCTTTTATAAAATCCAAAAGGCAAATAGCAACTCTTTTTATTATAATTTGTTCAACAAATACCTGTGTGCCTTTGCTATGTAATAATTTGTGGGTTCACAAAGATGAGCAAGACATTTTGCTCATGACCTGAACGATTATTATAATCTAATTTGGCTGCACTGCTGACTTCTTCCCTTGATACCTTTTAGATTCTAAAGAGAGCAAACTCCTAAAAAATATTTTTTCTTCTGTCTGCAATCACAGTCACAAATGAGGTGACCTAGACTGCATAGTTTGTGTGTACATGGATTTAAGAGTTTCAAACACTCAACTTGTATACCAAGTTCCTAATCACTTTACCTACATGAAAAGTGAACCAAATTTCAGACCTTTGGTGGCTTTCTAAGAAGGGTCCTCACCATGGCATGGTACATTTTATTAATTTGCAGGAAGACTAAGTCATATTTACACTGGGAGTTGAAATATAGCTTCCTCTTCAGGTAGCAGGACAAGCCCTTTTCCTTACAGAAAAGGAAGGCATTTATGTTCAGGAGTTTCATTGCCAGGTAACTCAATATCCTGTTTGTCAGCGAATTTTGGGAAGACTGTCGTTCACTTTGGACAACATACAGCCCTACTTCCTTCCAGTATCTGAGCAAGGTGATGCCCCTCATAGCAAAGAAACCAAATAGCTGTTTAGATAACAGGCATCTGCCTCAGTTCTCCTGACAATGCTGGGAAATCACGATTGTTGACTGATTAGTTCTTAATTTGACCAGGAAAGGAAAAGAAGATAGAAATCTCATATTTATACAAGACTCTGACAACTGAGAACCAAGTCCATTCAACCGTCCACATTAATCCCATGCTCCTGCTAATTTATTCAGTTCCTCACATCACTTGCCAGAGACAGACACAGCTCTTGACAGACAAGGTCAAAAAGAAAGAGAAAGAGGAAAATACAATTTGTGAACCTTTTTCCCTCCCCCACACTACCTTAACTGGGATCCCTGGTGCCTAGGAGGGGCTGAGATTCCAACTGAGAGATGCCTCTTTGAACAGTTTATTGCTTCCTTTGGCTAGTGGGAAGAATGACAGCTTACCCTGGGGTAATAGGCGGCTTTCTGTACAGTCACAAACGTGGGCTGTGACTATTTGCCTATTGGAGTGTGCTAGAAATGTGTGTTGTCTCACATGCCCAGAGGAGATCTTAATTAAAGCTTAATTATGTACCATAAATATGTTTTATTTTGGCACTCAGGAGGTGGGATTTTTGATTTTAGGAAATGTAATGCCTAATAAGTAGGCAAGAAAGGGAATGTAAACACCGACTGAGCCCTTTCATTTGTCCCCTGTCAGAGTGGTTCTGAACGGGCTTTCAGTTCCTGTGTGCGCTTTCAGAGCCACCTTCCTGGGTGCCACCCTTTCAGGGCAGGCTGGGCGCCCGCACATTCCCACAGCCAAGGGCATGATCAGACACAGAAGGGCCCGTTTAGTTTCTGGTGGTGACATCCCACAGGGTGCCAGACATGGGTGTTAAGAAATCAAATGAGTCTCCAGAAAGGATGGGATTTTATTGGTTGCTCACTCCTTTAGCGCTAGAAGGTGGAGCCCGAGTGAGGTGGCAGCGCTGTCCCGTCTTCCTGCTCCCCTGCACACCACACCTCCTGGTAGTGTTCGTGGCACTGCCTCTGGCCCCTGTCCTGTCCACCTGCCTTCTGGAAGCCTGCAGTCCCTCTCCCTGGCTCCACCGCGCTGTGTGCTGTGCCAACGGCAACTTACCACATGAGGTAAATTCTGCTGGGCCTCCTGGGGCCGTTCAGGCAGAGCACAGGGGTCTCGGACGGGGTGGGGCAGGAGACAGGGAAGTAGCACAGGGCCGCTGGAGACTCGGGCAAGGGCCCTGGGGAGGTGGAAATGGGGCTCGTGAAGGTGGGAAGGGTAACCGGAGGGAGATAGGGGGAAGGGTCCTGGGCCACTGGGGAGGCAGGTGGCACTACTGGCAGGACGAGGCAGCAGTAATTGGTATTGGGCTGCATGACAGGGGAGAAAGCAAAGACGGAGCAGTAAGGGCTATATTCAACACAGAACAGGGGGTGCTCGCTGCTGTCACCTGCACAAAAGAAAAAGAGCAATCAGGAAGCAGCACTCATGGTGGGAAGGACGTGAAAAAAAAAGGTCTGTGAATGAATCAAAACTCAAAAATTGTTCTTCGGGGGTGGGAGTGGGGTCTTCTCCAGGTGTCATAGGAGCAGCAGGCCTGGCTTCTGCCCAGGAGGCACCTGGCCTAGAGCTCAGAGTCACCGAGGAGTTAACCAGGGGAAGTGGCATCATCACAACCTTTTCCAACCAATCATCTCTGACAGATGTAGGGAAGTTCTTCTGGTACATTCCCAAGAATGTCCTGAAGGGCCAT